CTCACACATTCCCCTTTGATGTCAATTTTACAATTTAGGGCCAAGTGCAGTGGCTCAGACCTGTAATCCCAGCAGTTTTGGAGGCTGAGACAGACAGATAGCTTGAGCTCAGTTCAATACCAGCCTGGGCAACATGGAGAAATCCCATCTCTACAAAAAGTACAAGAAATTAGCTGGGTGGTGTCAGACACCTGTGGTCCCAGCTACCAGGGATGCTAAGGTGGGAGGATCGCTTAACCCCGAAGAAGCAGAGGTTGTAGTGAGCTGAGATCGCCTACCACATCCCAGCCTGGGTGGCAGAGTGAGACTCTGTCTCAAAAAAAAAAAATTAAAATTAAATGAGAATAAAATAAAATTTAAAGAGCTAGTTTTTTTCGGAAGAAAAAGGAGGGAAAACTTACAAATTATACCTTTAAGCTTCAGGACCAATAAATCAAAACCATTTTGCCTCCTGGTTCCAATTTCAAAGTCAATCCCCCAACCCCCTTTTTTTTTTAATGAAAAATCATGAGTCATCAAACAACTGGTACCCGTAAAATTTACTGATTTAAATTCATTGACTTAAAACTGAGCACCCACAACTTAAGAAATATTTTTCGCCGGGCGCGGTGGCTTAAGCCTGTAATCCCAGCACTTTGGGAGGCCGAGGCGAGTGGATCACGAGGTCAAGAGATCGAGACCATCCTGGTCAACATGGTGAAACCTCGTCTCTACTAAAAAACACAAAAAATTAGCTGGGCATGGTGGTGCGTGCCTGTAATCCCAACTACTCGGGAGGCTAAGGCAGAATTGCCTGAACCCAGGAGGCGGAGGTTGCGGTGAGCTGAGATCACGCCATTGCACTCCAGCCTGGGTAACAAGAGCGAAACTCCGTCACGGAAAAAAAAAAAAAAAAAAAAAAAAAAAAGAAATATTTTCCGATTTTAACCAGAGATGCTGAATACTAACCTTATCTCCCCTAGCACTTACACCTGCAATTGTAGTTTTCTTCCTCGACTTTGCGGGCAGGGGGAAGTACAGTGAACAAATTTCAGAGTATAGCTATCCACCTCAATAGAACTTGATGAAGCCGGGCGCGGTGGCTCAAGCCTGTAATCCCAGCACTTTGGGAGGCCGAGGCGGGTGGATCACGAGGTCGAGAGATCGAGACCATCCTGGTCAACATGGTGAAACCCCGTCTCTACTAAAAGTGCAAAAAATTAGCTGGGCATGGTGGCTCGTGCCTGTAATCCCAGCTACTCAGGAGGCTGAGGCAGGAGAATTGCCTGAGCCCAGGAGGCGGAGGTTGCGGTGAGCCGAGATCGCGCCATTGCACTCCAGCCTGGGTAACAAGGGCGAAACTCAGTCTCAAAAAAAAAAAAAAAAAAGAACTTGATGAAAATGGAAAACAGTTGTTCTTTACCCCCAACAACTTTGTGACAATTTTTTAAAAAGGTTTAAAATTGTTTAAATATCTACTAAAGATCACACTAAATCCTTACACATCAAATCATTTTTTTTTTAAGGAGACAGGATCTCGCTGTGTTGCCCAGGTTAGAGAGCTCAGTGGCCAATCACAAGAGTTTGGAACGCCGGGTTCAATGAATTCTCCCACCTCAGCCTCTCCAGTAGCTGGAACTACTGGCGCGCACAACCGTCAGCTAAATTTTATTTTTATTTTATTTTTTTGAGATGGACTCTCACTCCCAGGCTGGAGTTCAGTGGCGCAATCGTGGCTCACTGCAATCTCCACCTCCCAAGTTCAAGTAATTCTCCTGCCTCAGTCTCCCGAGTAGCTAGGACGACAGGCACCTGCCACCATGCTTGGCTAAATTTTTTTAAGCTGAATTTGTACTTTAGTAGAGACGGGGTTTCACTGTGTTGCCCAGGCTGGTCTCGAACTCCTGAGCTCAGGCAAAGGCCGTCTCGGCCTCCCAAAGTGCTGGTATTACAGCACCAAGCCCGGTCAATTTTTTTTTTTTTTTTTAAGAAATGCGGATGGGGGGCGGGGGATTCTCGCCATGTTGTCCAAGCTGGTCTCAAACTCCTGAGCCCAGGCGATCCTCCCGCTTCGGCCTCCCAAAGTGCTGGGGATGACAGGCGTGTTCCACTGTGCCCGGTCCCAAATCTTTGTTTTGGTCATGGAATAAAAAGCAGGGTATACAGTTGGCGTGTAGTACTTAAATCCTCAGATGACGCCGTTTCCAACCAATGATTTCAAACGGCTCCCCATTAACTTCTCATTAACCCAATGAACAAGAAAGTGACACGCTGAGATTTTGGATCCTTTTTCTTTCCCAGGCTCTCCCTCTGGCAAAGAAAGAGGCGCACAAACAAGGGGTGTGGCCCACTCGCAAATCAGACAGACCGTCCCGAATCAGGGACAACTACTGGAAAGTAGAGAGGAAAAAGAGTTTCGCGTTTCCACTCCTCGGACTCTGCTCCAGAATTCTGCGTTACCCGTCCAAAGCAGCGGCGTCAGAACAAGTTACTAAACGTCACCCGCAATCTTCCGCTCCGCCTCCCGGGAAGGGCTGGGTCCCCCTCTCGGCTGTGACACCATCGGGCGTATAAGCGGAGTGGGGCCAGCGCGTCTCCCCCGAGAGAAACCCGAGGCCCAGAGGGGCCGAGGGAGCCCGACACGAAAACTACAGAAGTTCCTGAGCAGGGATCTGAACCAAGGTCTCTGCCCACGGCGCGGGCTGTAGAGACGCGGCTCCACTTGAGAAAGGGGTCCCCACACGCGAGTGGGGCGAGGGGTCAGTTGAAACCAGTCCCTCCCTGAGTCGCCAAGAACCCAGTCCCGCCCTCTCCCCGCAGGACTCCTGCAGAGGACCTCAGCCTTCTGGCTTCGCCCCTCCGCCTTACTCAGGAGGAGACCTGCCAGAGCCCTATCTGACCTGTCGCCGCTGGGACCGAGCAGGCAGCGCGAAGACTCCATGCCTGCCTGGAAGAAGCGCCCACCACCACGTACACACTCTTCGCCGCCGTCGCTAGAGTGGCGAGGCTGGCACGCCGCCGCGTCCCGCCTCCCGGCAACTTCATTCCGCACTGTCGCCGCCGCCGATTGGTCCGTGTGCTCGCGGCTCCTGTCTCATTGGCTACTGCCGGGCCCAACAATGCCGGAGGGTTGCTAAGGGGCGGGAGGCGCGCGGGAGTTAAACGCGCCTGCGCGGGGGCGAGGTGACGCGCATCGGGGCTCCGTCCGCTGGAGCGCGTCGCCGAGCCGGGAGTGAAGGCGGAAGGATGTGTTTGCCTTGGCTGTACCCGCCGAGCGATTAGCGGGCGAGTCCGGTCAGAAGAGTCGCCCATACCCCACCAACCGCCACGCACGCAACGGCTCCCCGCAACCCCGCCATTTTTATCGAGCCCACCCAGAGCTCTTCCCGAGGTCTGCTCTGTGAGGATGTCCAGACCTCTGCTGCCTCCCATTCCGGCCCCTGCCCTGATACCAGCGGCCTTCGTGGACCCACTCTGGTACCCTCTCCAGCAGTCACTCCCAGTGAAACGCATCTTCCATAGGCTGGCCTTGACTTTCAACTGCACAGAACTCTTTCAGTCTCCCCTAATCCAGCCCAAACTTTTAGGTCATTCCTAGACCTGCTTTGCAGACTCCCCTAAAACACACCAAGGTATCCAGACTTTTTGTTCTTTTTTTTTTTTTTTTGAGACAGAGTTTCGCTCTTGTTACCCAGGCTGGAGTGCAATGGCGCGATCTCGGCTCACCGCAACCTCCGCCTCCTGGGTTCAGGCCATTCTCCTGCCTCAGCCTCCCGAGTAGCTGGGATTACAGGCACACGCCACCATGCTTGAGCCACCGCGCCCGGCCTTGTTCTTTTCTTTTTTTGAGACAGGGTCTCACTTTCGCTCAGACTGCAGTGTGGTGGCCCAGTCTTGGCTCACTGCAACCTCCGTCTCCCAGGCTCAAGCGATTCTCCTGCCTCAGCCTCCCGAGTAGCTGGGATTACAGGCAGGTGCCACTACCACGGGACTATTTTTGGTATTTTTAGTAGAGACAGGGTTTCACCATGTTGGCCATACTGCTCTTGAACTCCTGACCTCAAATGATCCACCCGCTTCGGCTTCCCAAAGTGCTGGGATTACAGCCACGCTCCCGGCCTGGAGACTCTTTCCCTCTACCTCTCTAGCGCCTGTGGGCCTTCCTCAAACATCCATAGCCCACAGTGAGACCCCATCTAAATGTGTACTTGTCTCCAATAAATCGCATCCCCAAGTGTCAGTCCCTTTCTCCCTGCCGACATGCACATTATAGTCCCTACAAAACATCCTGAGTCCTGACAAGTCACTGCACAAATGGCTTTATGGCATTCCAAAGTCAAAGTTGTTTACACGTTGGTTTTGAACCTACAAGTTAGTACTTCAGGAGGCACACACTGAGAGTGGAGCGTTACACTGCCTGGCTCAGCCTGCACTCACTGCAGTCAATCATAGTGTCACAGAGTTTGATTTTTTCCATCCATCATGACCGTGTGTATGGTTCATTCTCTGCCTCAAATTCCTATCTGTAGAATATGCAGAGTAATCCCTGCTTGACCTAGTTGGGGCTGCACCTGACACAGTAGGTTCTTAAATGCTGAATGAATGGTTTAATGAGATTCTACTTGTCTGAGTAAAAGGCCACCTGAGACATTCTGTTGACTTAGGAAGTCCTTCTGCATTAATTACAATAAATAATATTCTTTGAAAACTTTCCATATTTATTTACACAGTTTTACAGTTACTCTAAGAAACCATTCTATTTAATATTTACAGATTGTTTCAGTTAGGAAAAAAACTCAAAACACAAGCAATCCTAAAGGACTCATCTATGTCTCCTCTAACTACCCTGATCTCATGTAGTCCCTAAAACAGGGCTTGCTGCCCTTCTTGCCTTTCAGCAGATGAGTCAAGGTTGCAGAGACGGCAGTCAACCATAGAGTCACAAAGTTTTATTTTTCTTCATCAGGTCATAGAAACTGCCACTGAGCCTGACAGAGTTGGTACTCAAAAATGCAGAATGGGAAGAAACGGTGGCCAGGAGGGGGCTCCGGGGACACTCCTGACCATTCTGACGAAGATGAAGCAGAAAGAGCGGGAGGTGCGACTGCTCATGCTTGGCCTGCACAATGCTAGGAAGACAACCATCTTGAAGAAGTTCAAAGAGGAGGACATCGACACGATCTCCCCGACACTGGGCTTCAACATCAAGACCCTGGAGCACTGAGGATTCAAGCTGAACATCTGGGATGTGGGCGGCCAAAAGTCTCTGCGATCCTACTGGCAGAACTACTTTGAGAGCACCGACGGCCTCATCTGGGTGGTGGACAGCGTGGACCACCGGCACATGCAGGACTGCCAGCAGGAGCTCCACAGCTTGCTGCTGGAGGAGCGCCTGGCCGGAGCAATCCTCCTCATCTTTGCCAACAAGCAGGACCTGCCTAGAGCACTGTCCTCTAACGCCATCTGTGAGGCCCTGGAGCCAAACTCTATCCACAGCCACCACTGGTGCATCCAGGGCTACAGCGCCGTCACTGGAGAGAACCTGCTGCAGGGCACTGACTGGCTCCTGGATGACATTTCCAGCCGAATCTTCACAGCTGAATGAGCCACTTCAGATGCCCGCCACCTAGCAGTCTAGGTTCCCCAACCCTCACCAAACACTATCCACAGGGGGATGGGAGTCAGACTAACACTCCCCCTCCTCCACCCCTAACCTGCTGCTGCTACTGCTGCCCGCTGCTGCTCTGTGGCGGGAGGGCTGTGCCCTGGCTGTCTCCCTTGCTCCTGACCTGGCCTTTGGCTGCCATATCAAGAAGAGAGGGCTAGGCGGGCAGAAGCTGCCTCTGCTGCTACCGAGGCTGTGGGCCTCATCCTTTGCTCAGCTGTGAAATAAATCACTCCTTGTCCTGGAAAAAAAAAAAATGCAGAATGGGCTGGGCACAGTGGCTCATGCCTGTAATCCCAGCCCTTTGGGAGGCCAAGGCGGGTGGATCACACAGCAGGAGTTCAAAACCAGCCTGGCCAACACGGTAAAACCCCGCCCCCCCCCAAAAAAAATGCAGAGATGATTAAAGGATTAATGAGTAGTGGTTAAGGAAACAAAAACCTTTAGTGGATGGGGTAATATTGCTGTATTACTGATAGAAGCAAGATTCTCTTTTTCTTTTTTTTTTTTTAAAGACAGTGTTTCACCATGTTGGCCAGGCTGGTCTTGAACTCCTGACCTCAGGTGATCTGCCTGCCTTGGCCTCCCAAAGTGCTGAGATTACAGGCGTGAGCCACCACACCCGGCCAGAAGCAAGATTCTCTAAAAAAAAACTTTCTGTAGCCATTTATTTACATACATTTTAAACAGTTATGATAAAATACTTTAAAAATTTAAACAGAAAAATATGAAGTGAACAGTTTATGACACTAAACTCAACTGTTTATGACACAAAGTATTTTAGAAAACAAATCTTGGCTGGGTGTGGTGGCTCATGCCTGTAATCCCAGGAAGGTTGAGGCAGGCAGATCACTTGAGGTCAGGAGTTTGAGACCAGCCTGGCCAACATGGTGAAACCCTGTCTCTACTAAAAATATTTTAAAAAATTAGCCAGGCATGAGGCGCCTATAATCCCAACTATGGGAGAGGCTAAAATAGGAAAATTCTTGAACCTGGGAAGTGGAGGTTGCAGTGAGATCTCACCACTGCACTCCAGCCTGGGTAACAGTGAAATACAGTATCTCAAAAAAAAAAATTCTGAGAATTGAATTTCCTTATGACTCCAGAAAACATATCTCCTTTCTATTGAGATTGCTGATGGCAGTCAGCTTTTCACAAAGAATTGGCTTCTGCTCAGTTTCCCTCTCTCTCTGAGGTAAGCAAACAGGTGCTTTCGTCTCCTCCACGTGACCTTTATTCCATACTTGTCCTCAGGGGTGTCTTTAACCAGAACAGGTCCAGGCTCTGGGCTACTGGGAGTGCCAGTGTGAAGAGAGCAGCTTGAAAGATTGTTTTCCTTCTGATCTGGGGGAATGAGCTCTTCCTTCATAGACGATAACTCTGGGGTCTGGATATCAGGTGGAATGAACACATAAGGGAAGCTCTGAAGTGCCTGAGCTGACATGTCCCCACAGCTTTGGGGACTGAGCACTGGAACTAAGGGTCTTCTGGAAACATCCTTTTCTGATTGATTGAGGCACTTCCTGATTAAGGGGATCCCCAATGCTTCTGAACTGGAAGACTGTGGACTCTCAAAAGTTAGATGTGGAAACTTGGAAGTGGTAGATTTTCGACTTAAATGTCTCACCCGGTCTTGGTGGTGGTGTTTCTGGTAGGCTGGGAACAAACTTCCTGCTGTTGTATCAAAATCAGGTGATACCTTAAAAAAAAAAAAAAAAAAAAAAAAAGTGAGGTGAACCAACTACCAAGTACTAACTAAGAGAAGAAACTATATCCAATCAGCGGACTCTTAAATAGGAGTCCACTATAGTAATGAACACAAAACTAAAATAGCTGTCTAATGGTATAATAACAGGAAGCTTTGGGCAAGTTATTCTGTCTCTCTGGCTTTCAGTTTCATCATGTGTAGGAAAGGGGATGATGTCTCTTTCACTTCAACACATCATATAGATATAACTTTTTTTTCCCCCTGAGATGGAGTCTCACTCCGATGTCTAGGCTGGAGCACAGTGGCACAATCTCAGCTCACTGCAACCTCTGCCTCCCAGGTTCAAGTGATTCTTCTGCCTCAGCATCTCGAGTAGCTGGGACTACAGGCATCCCCTACCACGCCCAGATAACTTTTTTTTTTTTTTTTGAGACAGTTTCCTTCTTGTCACCCAGGCTGGAGTGCAATGGTGAGATTTCTGTTCACTGCAACCTCTGCCTCCCTGATACAAGCGAGCCTCCTGCCTCAGCTTCCCGTGTAGCTGAGATTACAGGCATACACCACCACGCCCAGCTAATTTTTGTATTTGTAGTAGAGACAGGGTTTTACCATGTTGACCAGGCTGGCCTTGAACTCCTAACCTCAGGTGATCCACCCACCTCAGCCTCCCATAGTGCTGGGATTACAGAGGTAAGCCATGGCACACAGCCAAATTTTTTATCTTTAGTAGAGTTGGGGTTTCACCGTGTTGGCCAGACTGGTCTCAAACTCCTGACCTCAAGTGATCCACCCAGCTTACCCTCCCAAAGTGCTGGAATTACAAGTGTAATTCCAGGTGTTGTGAGCCACAACACCTGCCCTGCATATAACTTATCTATCTTTAAACTTCATGAAAGTAGAGACCTGCAGTCTTGTTCTTGATTCCCAGCACCTAGCAGAATGCCTGAAACAAAGAAGGCCCTCAGTAAATAATGAATAGCCAACTCCAAGCATAGTGGGTGAGAACTAGCAGAGGACCTGGCATATAATGGATATTCAATAAATGTTCATTCCTATTCTCATCCACAAATTCTGATGTTTAGGTTTCTTCCACAATCCTGCAGCAGGTATTACGGCTCTTCCAAGCAGTCCTGAATAAGTTATATTTATTAAATACTCCTAAAACAAGCTCATGCTTTTGTATGGCCCTTTTGCTATACTACTTCCTTGTTGTATAGTAGCTATATTCTCTTCCCAGGGCTGCTGCTGCTGCTTTTTTTTTTTTTTTTTGACACAGGGCCTCACTCTGTCGCCCAGGCTGGAGTGCAGTGGTGCAATCTCGGCTCACTACAGCCTTGGCCTCCTGGGCTCAAGTGATCTGCCCTAAAGTAGCTGGGACAAGAGGTGCGCACCACCAGGCCCAGCTAATTTTTATATTATTTTTAGTAGAAATGAGGTTCCACCATGTTGCCCAAGCTGGTCTCAAACTCCTGGGCTCAAGCAATCCTCCTGCCTTGGCCTCCTAAAATGCTGGGATTACAGGCATGAGTTTCCACAATTGGCCTCTCTTCCTAAGGCTTTTAAGTGGTCAAAATATGACATATGCTATTCTTTTTTTTTTTTTTTTTTTTTTTGAGACGGAGTTTCCCTCTTGTTACCCAGGCTGGAGTGCAATGGCGAGATCTCGGCTCACCGCAACCTCCGCCTCCTGGGTTCAGGCAATTCTCCTGCCTCAGCCTCCTGAGTAGCTGGGATTACAGGCATGAGCCACCATGCCCAGCTAATTTTTTGTATTTTTTTAGTAGAGACGGGGTTTCACTATGTTGACCAGGATGGTCTCGATCTCTCAACCTTGTGATCCACCCGCCTCGGCCTCCCAAAGTGCTGGGATTACAGGCTTGAGCCACCGCGCCCGGCCTGACATATGCTATTCTTATGGGGTTTTTATTGTTGAAGGTTCAATCCATTAAACGATAAACAGAGTATCTAGCTAAATACTCTACCTTTCACATGAAGTTTAGGAAACAATCTCATTTCTTACTTGTTCTGGCATTTATCTGGCTTTCTCCTCCAGCTAATGGGTAAAAAAACCTTTTACACTGAACTCTTTCAGATGAAAATAGGGAGAGAGAAAGACTCCAGTTCCAACTAACCCATTCCTCAGTTTGAATGGAGAAAAGACGACATACCAGAGAACATGGCTGGCCACAGACAGAAAGAATACATTAACTCCCTGCCCCTGCTCCAATGAATCTTATTCTTTGGAGACCCTGGTTCAAGGGGCAGAAGAGTCAGCATTCTGGAAAACCTAACAGTAAAAGTCGAAGTAATAGTCCCATGGCCCTACCCATGAAGTGATGGTGCTGTGGTCAATGGGCTTGCTGGGCACTTGTCGAGTGTGAGTGATGGGGAGCTGTGGAGATGCATAGCCGTGTTTGGGGCCCTCCAGTGGTTGTTGGTGGAACAGCAGCTGGGCTTTCTGGGAAGGCTGGCGGCGTTTTTTTCTGGGAGGCATCAACCGGTGAATGAGGAACAGTTAGTAACCACATGATGCTGATAGCCTTCGGGATGGGAGATAGGCTCCAATTCCAACCCATGCCTGCAGAGAAGAAACAAAGCTGGGAACAAATAATTCAGATGATTCCCTAGATTTTCCTGATCCTCTGCCAGCCAATTCTACTGTAAATTTCAAGGCTGTAGGGAGCACAGCCTCCTAAAGTCTACACCACCAATCAAAACAGTATTCATATTCAACATTCATCTAACAAACATTTATTGAGTATGCACTAAATGTCATGCTAGGTGCTGGGAATTTAAAGATGAATAACCGGCCGGGCGCGGTGGCTCATGCCTATAATCCCAGCACTTTGGGAGGCTGAGGCGGGTGGATCACGAGGTCAAGAGATCCAGACCATCCTGGTCAACATGGTGAAACCCCGTCTCTACTGAAAATACAAAAATTAGCTGGGCATGGTGGTGAGTGCCTGTAGTCCAAGCTACTCGGGAGGCTGAGGCAGGAGAATTGCTTGAACCCAGAAGGCGGAGGTTGCGGTGAGCCGAGATTGCGCCATTGCACTCCAGCCTGGGTAACAAGAGCGAAACTCTGTCTCAAAAAAAAAAAAAAGAAAGAAAAGAAAAGATAAACGGCAAGAACTGAGGATAAACATGGTGTCAGGGTGAGGTGAAAAAAAAGGATGACATGGCCAAGTGTGGTGGCTCACGGCTGTAATCCCAGCACTATGGGAGGCAGAGGCAGGAGGATCACCTGAGGTCAGGAGTTTGAGACCAGCCTGGCCAACACGATGAAACCTTACCTCTACTAAAAATACAAAAATTAGCTGGCCGTGGTGGTGCATGCCTGTAGTCCCAGCTACGCAGGAAGCTGAGGATCACCTGAACCCAGGAGGCAGAGGTTGCAATAAGCTGAGATCACGCAACTGCCCTCCAGCCTGGGCAACAGAGCGAGACTGTCTCAAAAAAACAAAACAAAACAAAACAAAAAGGATTAGCCAAGTGTGGTGGTGCTCGCCTGTAATCCCAGCTACCCAGGAGGCTGAGGCAGGAGAATCACTTGAACCTGCGAGGTGGAGGTTGCAGTGAGCCAAGGTCACCCACTGCACTCTACCCTGGGCAACAAAGCAAGACTCTATCTCCAAAAACAAACAAACAAACAAACAAAAACAGATGACACCATATGAGTTTGGACTTTATCCTGAGTAGTCATGGCAGATTTTCAAGCAGAACAATATAATCCCACCTGGCTTTAAAATTTTTCACTCTAGATAACATCAAATACACACTAAAGTATACTGAATAATATAATAATGGGCCCTGTGTACCAAACATCCAGCTCCAATAACTATCAACCAGGCTAATCTTGACTCATCTATACCCTAGCCACTTCTTCTACCCCTGCATTATTTTGAAGAACATATGTTCTATTGGCCGGGCACAGTGGGTCATGCCCGTAATCCTAGCACTTTGGAAGGCCGAGGAAGGCAGATCACCACAGGTTGGGAGTTTGAGACCAGACTGACCAACGTGAAGAAACCCCATCTCTACTAAAAATACAAAATTAGCTGGGCATGGTGGAGCATGCCTATAATCCCATCTACTCAGGAGGCTGAGGCAGGAGAATCGCTCAAACCCAGGAGGCAAAGGTTGCGGTGAGCCAAGTTTGCGCCATTGCACTCCAGCATGGGCAAGAAGAGAGAAACTCCATCTCAAAAAAAAAAAAAAAAAGAAAGAAAATATGTTCTATCATTCCCATTAATACAAATAAATAAAAACATAAACTCCTTAACATTATCAAGTATCCAGCCAGCCAGTGTTCTTTATTATTATTATTATTTTGAGACTGGGTCTCAAAAATAAAAATAAAAAAATAAAAAAATAAAAATAAAAAAAGAGACTGGGTCTCATCTGTCACATAGGCTAGAATACAGTGGCACAATCACAGCTCACTACAGCTTTGAGCTCCCAGGCTCAGGTGATCGTCCCACCTCAGCCTCTCAAGTAGCTGGGACTATGCCAAAACACTGGCTAATTTTTTTTTTTTTTTTTTGAGACGGAGTTTTGCTCTTGTTACCCAGGCTGGAGTGCAATGGCGTGATCTCGGCTCACCGCAACCTCCACCTCCTGGGTTCAGGCAATTCTCCTGCCTCAGCCTCCTGAGTAGCTGGGATTACAGGCATGTGCCACCATGCCCAGCTAATTTTTTTGTATTTTTAGTAGAGACAGGGTTTCACCATGTTGACCAGGATGGTCTTGATCTCTCGACCTCGTGATCCACCCGCCTCGGCCTCCCAAAGTGCTGGGATTACAGGCTTGAGCCACCGCGCCCGGCTAACACTGGCTAATTTTTGTATTTTTTGTAGAGATAGGGTTTAGTCATGTTGCCCAGGCTAGTCTTGAATTCCTAAGCTCAAGTGATCTGCCCACCTCAGCCTCCCAAAGTGCTGGGATTACAGATGTGAGCCACCACACCCCAGGTTTTCTTTGTCCGTTTTTTTTTTTGAGACAGAGTCTCGCTCTGTCCTCCAGGCTGGAGTAGTAGTGCAATCTTGGCTCAATGCAACCTCTGCCTCCCAGGTTCAAGCAATTCTCATGCCTCAGCCTCCGGAGTAGCTGGGACTACAGGCACCCACCACCACGCCCAGATAATTTTTTATATTTTAGTAGAGACGAAGTTTCTTTCTTTCTTTTTTTTTAAAATAAGACGGGGTTTCACCATGTTGGTCAGGCTGGTCTTGAACTCCCGACCTCAGGTGATCCGCCTGCTTTGGCCTCCAAAGTGCTTGGATTACAGATGTGAGCCACCACGCCCGGCCTAGAGATGGGGTTTCATCATGTTAGCCAGGATGGTCTTGGTCTCCTGACCTCATGATCCGCCCACCTCAGCCTCCCAAAGTGCTGAGATTACAAGTGTGAGAGACTGTGCCAGGCCTTTTTTTTTTTTTTTTTTGGAGACAGGACCTTGCTCTGTCACCCAGGCTGGAATGCATGTATCATTGCAGCCTCAATCTCTACAGCTCAAGCAATCCTCCACATCAGCTTCCTGAGCAGCTGGAACTACAAGTGAGTACACTGCACCTGGCCTTTTTTTTTTTTTTTTTTGTAGAGACAAGGTTCTTCTTGTGTTGCCTAGGCTGGTCTCAAACTCCTGGGCTCAAGCAATCCTTCCCTCCTCTACCTTCCAAATTGCTGAGATTACCAGTAATTCTTCAAATAGGCCTTCCCTAACAACTATGTCTAAAATAACCGTCAACTCAAACCCTTGTCTTATTTGACTCTTCTCTGTACTTTTATCTTTTGAGACAGAGTCTCACTCTTTCACCCAGGCTGAAGTGCAGTAGCTCAATCTTGGTTCACTGCAACCTCTGCCTCTCAGATTCAAGCGATTTTCCTGCCTCAGCCTCCCAAGTAGCTGGGATTATAGTTGCCCGCCACCACGTCCAGTTAATTTTTATATTTTAAGTAGAGATGGGGTTTCACCATTTTGGCCAGGCTGGTCTTGAACTCCTGACCTCAACTGATCCACCCACCTAGGCCTCCCAAAGTGCTGGGATTACAAGTATGAGTCACCATGTCTGGCGCCTCTGGTAGCCTTCTGAATTCCCTGTTTCCTTTTTCCACACTCCTCTCCAACCCGACTTTTCTTACAAGGTGCCTTGAGCATCTTTTTTTTAAAGTTTTATTATTTTTTTAGAGATAGAGTCTTGCTTTGTTGCCCAGACTAGTCTTGAACTCCTGGGCTCAAGTAATCCTTCTGCTTCGGCCACCCAAAGTGTTGGGAATATAGGCATGAGCCACTACAGCTGCCCCAGATCAACTTTAATAAGAGCTTCTTCAGTGGAATGGTAGGGCACAAGGTTGAATGCAATAGATAGAGAAGTAAATCAGAGGTGCAGCTAAGCATACTGGAAAGTCACACAACAGAGTAGGTTGGTTCTATACGTTCATAATCCATTCAATCAACAACAAAAACCATGCTTTGACTTACATAATTAGGCAGTAGAGTTACAGGTAAAGAAAAAAAGGATGAAGTCTCTATTCTCAAGGAACTAACACCTTATGAAGAACACAAAATACAAATACATCTATTTGTTCATTCACTCACCTGAAAATATTTACTGAGTGCCTACTGTGTGCTAGGCACTGTTCCAGGTGCTGAAAATATATACAGAAAATAATACAGAGAATAAAATAAAGCTTCTGCCGTTATGGTGCTTACATTCTAGTTGGAAAGGGATAAAAAGTATAGAGAGGCCGGGTATGGTAGCTCACACCTATAGTACCGGCACTTTGTGGGGCCAAGGCGGGCAGATCACTTGAGGTCAGGAGTTCAAGACTACCTGGCCAACATGGGGAAACCCATCTCTACTAAAAATACAAAAATTAGCCAGGCATCGTGGCATACACCTATAATCCCAGCTACTTGGGAGGCTGAGACAGGAGAATTCCTTGAACCTGGGAGGTGGAGGTTGCAGAGCGCCAAGCGCCACTGCACTCCAGCCTGGGCAACAGAGCGAGATTTCGTCTGGAAAACAAACAAACAAAAAGCTACCAGCAGAAAGATGACAGTGGTAGCAATGGCTACAGTGTTGAAATTCATGACTTGCTGAAAGTCATCAGCTTCAAATGGGTACATTGCTCAGCAATCCTGTTTCCTTGATCAACTCTTTCTCCACAAAGATAATCTTTTTTTTTTTTTTGAGACGGAGTTTCACTCTTGTTACCCAGACTGGAGTGCAATGGCGCGATCTCGGTTCACCGCAACCTCCGCCTCCTGGGTTCAGGCAATTCTCCTGCCTCAGCCTCCTGAGTAGCTGGGATTACAGGCACGAGCCACCATGCCCAGCTAATTTTTTGTATTTTTAGTAGAGACGGGGTTTCACCATGTTGACCAGGATGGTCTCGATCTCTCGACCTCCTGATCCACCCGCCTTGGCCTCCCAAAGTGCTGGGATTACAGGCTTGAGCCACCGCGCCCGGGCCAAAGATAATCTTAAAACTTCTCCAAGCTAGGTGCAGTAGCTCATGCCTGTAATCTCAGAACTTTAGGAGGCTGAGGTGGGAGGACTGCTTGAGGCCAAGAGTTCAAGACCAACCTGGGCAACATAGTGAGACCTCGTCTTGACTAAAAATTTAAAAGAATAATTAGTTGGACGTGGTGGGACACACCTGTAGTCCCAGCTATTTGAGACGCTGAGGTGGGAGGATCACTTGAGTCCAGGAGTCTGAAGATGCAGTGAGCTATGATCATGCCCCTACACTCTAGCCTAGGTGACGGACAGACCCTACCTCAAAAAAAGAAAAAAAAAAAGTGGAAATTTTTGTTTGTTAGTTTTGAAATGAAGTCTCACTCTGTTGCCCAGGCTGGAGTGCAGCTGTGCAATCTAGGCTCACTGTAACCTCTGCTTCCCAGGTTCAAGTAATTCTCCTGCCTCAGTCTCCTGAGTAGCTGGGATTACAGGTACCCATCACCAAGCCCAGCTAATTGTTATATTTTTTAGTTTCGCCATGTTGGCCAGGCTGGTCTTGAACTCCTGACCTCAGGTGATCTGCCCAGACTGGAGTACAGTGACACGATCATAACTCACTGCAGTCTCAAACTCCTGGGCTCAAGAGATCTCTTGTCTTAGGCTCCTGAAGAGCGGGGACTATAGACAAGCACCACCACATGTGGCTGGTTTATTTTATTTTTTTTTAGAGATGGGGTCTTGCTATGTTGTCCAGGCTGGTCTTGAACTCCTGGGCTCAAGTGATTCTCCTGCCTCAGCCTCCCAAAGTGCTAGAATTACAGGTGTGAATCACCACACCCTGCCCATTTTCTTAGAATGTCAGAACACCCCTTTTGTGTTACCAAATGATTTTACTTCCTACTTGACAACGAATATAGAAGACATCAAAGGAAAAACTCTTTGTATGTTTGCTTTCTGGAAAATCAGAGTATTTCCTTTGACGTCTTCTATATCTGACCTCAGTTCACTTTTGCTTAAAGCTTATGATTGGTTGCCTTTAATTCTTGGATAAGCACAAAACTTCTCAGTATGGCTAAGGCCTGCTTCCTCTGCCTCCGGCTTCAACTCACACCACACCCCACTCAGGTTGATTAGCTCAAACTCCTCAGATATTCCTTAAGCCTATACTCATCGTGCTTACTCCTACCATGCACACCTAATTCCCTCTGCTTATGGAGGTTCCCTCCTTTCTTTGTAAAAGGCACCAGATCTCACACCAAGCTCTCATGAGAAAAGCGTTTCCTGTCCTGCCTCTCAAGATCTCCTTATTGGAAATACTCAAAGTATCGTTAACCTCTACTGTTTCACTGTACAGCAGTAATTCCACTTCTGTGTGTTTGTTTTGGAGATGATGTCTCCCTCTGTCACTCCCTCTGTCCAGGTTGAAGGGTAGTGGTGTGAACAGTTTACCATAACCTCCACCTCTCAGGCTCAGGTGATCCTCCCACCTCAGCCTCCAGGGTAGCTAGGACTGCAGGCACGCACCACCACAGCCGGCTAATTTTTAGTAGAGAAGCGGTTTCGCCATGTTGGTCAGGCTGGTCTTGAACTCGTGACCTCAAGCCATCCACCTGCCTCGGCCTCCTAAAGTGCTGGGATCACAGGCGTGAGCCACCGTACCCAGCCCACATTTGTTTATTTGATTCCTTAAAAATGTCTGAGCCCCTCTCCCAGGATTGGGCTCTGAGTCCAAGGGAAGTTAAGAACCTTGTCTGCCATTGTACCTTCAGGGCCTGGCGGTGCCTGGCACATGGCAGTGGTTCAACTAGACCGGCTAAGTAAATAAATAAAGCACCACAGTCTATGACACCCGAAGGCTTAGCTTTGGGAGCGGCAAAAGGCAGGTCAGTACCTGAAGACTTCGCGCTCACGTAGGGCTCAAGGGGCCGACATTTTTTCCAAGATGGAAGAAAGCGGAGACCGCACGCAGCCCTCCAAGAACCCTCAGGCTAATCGGGTGGGGAGCAAACGACCGTTCGCTGTAGGAAAATGGGGTACGATTTCCCCTAGGAAGGAAAGCCAACAGGGGAGCGTGTCGCCGGGGGCGTGTCGCCGGACGTGACCAGAGCGGCAGGGAAAGCGGGCCCGGGAGCCGGGCCTGTCACGCCGCTTCCGCGCGTCCCCACACTGTCCCTCCGCTCGCCCGCCCGCGCCGCGGAGACCCCTCCGGCCCCGCCCCGGCCTCACGGCCACCTCTTCCCCCACGAACGGGCCCGCGGGCCGCCTTACCAGCCCGGGCCGGCCGGGGCCGCCGCTCCTGTCAGACCGCGCCGCGTTCGAGCCCGGAACGCCGAGACAAGCCGGCGCCGATTGGCGACGTTCCGTCACGTGACCTTAACGCTCCGCCGGCGCCAGTTTCAAACAGCGGAACAAACTGAAAGCTCCGGTGCCAGACCCCACCCCCGGCCCCGGCCCGGGACCCCCTCCCTTCCCGGGATCCCCCGGGGTTCCCACCCCGCCCGCACCGCCGGGGACCCGGCCGGTCCGGCGCGAGTCCCCGTCCGGGGTCCGGGCTCGGTCCCCAGGTTGGAGGAGCCCGGAGCCCGCCTTCGGAGCCACGGCCCAACGGCGGCGGCGACTGCAGTCTGGAGGTGAGCGGGAGGCAGGAATGGAGTCCCAGGCCCGGCCTGGGCACAGGCGGGGAGCAAGGCCTCCGGGTGCGGAGGTCAGGGCGTCCAGCAGCAGGGCACGGGCCACGAGCGGAGGTTTTAGGCCACACAGGAAGAAGGTCTGAGCCAGGGTGCAAATGTTTTCTGCATCCAACCTCCTGGCCTTGGCCTTCTCACTACTTAAAGCGCCCCTTGGACCTCCCTGAAGTCTGACCTCTGCACCCTGCCCACAGCCTCGGGAGGCCCGGGGTGACCTACTTTCTTACTTAGGCCGACTGTGGCTGAGATGAAGACTGAGCTTGTACTACATTGAGTCAAAGACCAACCTGGGTACACACTCCCCTGCTCCCAGGCTCTCTCACCACTAGGCAACACTGCCTCCATCTTACCCTTTGGCCAGGGCTCTTCTGGTTCTTGAGAATGTAGCAAGATTTTCCCGCTCTGGATGGGGATGGGTCAGAGGAGCCACTCTGGAAGTTTCCCGGGCAAGAAAATGTCGGCAATATGAAGGCCAAGGCAGGTGGATCACCTGAGGTCGGGAGTTCAAGACCAGCCTGACCAACATGGTGATACCCCGTCTTTAAAAAAAAAAGAAAAAAGAAGAAGAAAGAGAATGTCGGCAATAATAGTAAGAGGTTGGTCAGGAAGTAGAAGAGAAACCTAAGACTTAGATATCCTGTGGAAAGGCTGGGCACGGTGGCTCAAGCCTGTAATCCCAGCACTTTGGGAGGCCGAGGCGGGTGGATCACGAGGTCAAGAGATCGAGACCATCCTGGTCAACATGGTGAAACCCCGTCTCTACTAAAAATACAAAAAAAATCAGCTGGGCATGGTGGTGTGTGCCTGTAATCCCAGCTACTCAGGAGGCTGAGGCAGGAGAATTGCCTGAACCCAGGAGGCGGAGGTTGCGGTGAGCCGAGATTGCGCCATTGCACTCCAGCCTGGGTAACAAGAGCAAAACTCCGTCTCAAAAAAAAAAAAAAAAAGATATCCTATGGAAAAAGAACAGTATCTACTGATTGATGCGGGGAGAGAGGGAGGCCTGGAAAGATATGAGGTGAAAGTAAAACATTTGAAGGTAGAGGTGTGGAGGGCCTGTGAACTCTATGCAGACGACAAATGTCAAAAAAGTGCAATTGCTTTTCAGGGAGACAACAACTGTCCTAAAAAAGAGACAGCCAAGGCCAGGTGCAGTGGTTCAGGCCTATAATCCCAGGACTTTGGGAGGCTGAGGCAGGCAGATCACAAGGTCAGGAGATCAAGCCCATCCTGGCCAACATGGTGAAACCTCATCTCTACTAAAAAATACAAAAATTAGCTGGGCATAGTGGCGCACACCTGTGGTCCCAGCTGTTCAGGAGGCTGAGGCAGAAGAATTGCTTGAACCCAGGAGGTAGAGGTTGCAGTGAGCCAAGATCGCACCACTGCACTCCAGCCTGGCGCCTGGCAACTCAGCAAAACTCTGTCTCAAAAAAAAAAAAAAAAGAGAGACAGCCAATTCCTCTGTCTCCCAAAGTTCCATGAAATAGAACTATACAAGTTTGCTTAATAGTAGAATATTCCATGTATCTATTAAAATCAGCAAAGGGCCAGGCATGGTGGTTCACACCTGTAATGCCAGCACTTTGGGAGGCCGAGGTGGGCAGAAGTTTGAGGTCAGGAGTTTGAGACCAGCCTGACCAACATGGTGAAACCCCATCTCTACTAAAAATACAAAATTAGCCAGACATGCTGGTGCACACCTGTAATCCCAGCTACTTGGGAGGCTGAGGCAGGAGAATCACTTGAACCTGGGAAGGTGAAGGTTGCAGTGAGCCATCGTGCCATTGCACTCCAGCCGAGCAGCAAGAGCAAATCAACGTCTCAAAAAATTTTTAAATTCGGGCTGAGTGCGGTGGCTCATACCTGTAGTCTCAGCTCTTTGGGAGGCTGAGGTGGGTAGATCACCTGAGGTCAGGAGTTCTAGACCAGACTGGCCAACATGGAGTCTCTACTAAAAATACAAAAATTTGCTGGATGTGGTGGTGGGCACCTGTAATCCCAGCTACTCAGGCTGAGGCAGGAGAATCACTTGAACCTGGGAGGCGGAGGTTGCAGTGAGCCGAGATGTCATCACTGCACTCCGGCCTTGGCAACAGAGCAAGACTCCATCTCAAAAATAAAAAATAAAAAAGAAAGGCTGGGTACAGTGGCTCACACCTGTAATCCCAGCACTTTGGGAGGCTAAGGTGGGTGGATCACCTGAGGAGTTCAAGACCAACCTGGCCAACATGGTGAAACCCCATCTCTACTTAAAAAAAAAAAAAAAAAAAAAAAAAAAAAAATTAGCCGGCGTGTTGGTGTACGCCTGTAATCACAGCTACTCGGGAGACTGAGGCAGGAGAATCACTTGAACCTGGGAGGCAGGCAGAGGTGTCAGTGAGCTGAGATCGCGTTGTTAAATTCTAGCCTGGGTGACAAGGGCAAAACTCTGTCCCCCCCCAAAAAAAAATGAACAAAAGGCTTAAAAAAAAAAGGGCTACACTGTTAGCATCTCAGAACCACCTTAGTGTATTGATGATAGCACATTCTGGTAGTAAGGAGGCAGGGATTATAGTCTTAGTTCTAGAAAAGAAATTAATGAAGTGGCATGCTTAGAAAGTTATATGTATAATATATGTAGCCATGTGCAAGTACTAAAATGCCACTGGATAAATACAGTACAAATTGTAAAAGAAAACATATTCTTTTAAAATTCGAGCAAGTATAATAGCATGAGAAATAAATGTCACTCTCTAGAGCTGTTCAGTGCACAAGATGCACGACTTTACATGGGCCTTCAGTAGAGGTGTCCATTTCATGTGAGGTCTTGTAAACTAGGAGATGATTTTTCCAGTGGTGTAGCAATAGTACAGTCTGCCTTTCTTCCCTGATTCTGTTGCACTGGTCCTATTCACAAAGTAACACAAAAATTAAAAGGCCTGGCTGGGCACCTGGCTCACGCCTGTAATCCCAGCACTTTGGGAGGCTGAGCTGAGTGGATCACCTGAGGTCAGGAGTTTCAGACCAGCCTGAGCAACATGGTGAAACCCTGCCTCTACTAAAAATACAAAAATTAGCCAGGCATGGTGGTGGGTGCCTGTAATCCCAGCTGCTTGGGAAGCTGAGGCATGAGAATTGCTTGAACCTAGGAGGTGGAGGTTGCAATGAGCTGAGATCATGCCATTGCACTCCAGCCTGGGTGACAAAGGCAGACTCTGTCTCAAAAAAAAAAAAAAAAAAAAAATTGCCGGGCACGGTGGCTCACGCCTGTAATCCCATCACTTTGTAAGGCCGAGGCGGGTGGATCACGAGGTCAAGAGATCGAGACCATCCTGGTCAACATGGTGAAACCCCGTCTCTACTAAAAATACAAAAAATTAGCTGGGCATGGTGGCACGTGCCTGTAATCCCAGCTACTCAGGAGGTTGAGGCAGGAGAATTGCCTGAACCCAGGAGGCGGAGGTTGCGGTGAGCCGAGATCGTGCCATTGCACTCCAGCCTGGGTAACAAGAGCGAAACTCTACCTAAAAAAAATAAAAAAATAAAAAAATAAAAAATTAAAAGGCTTTATCTTAGAACAGATTATGGGATCAGAGTTTTGTCAGGACTCCTAATTACCATATGCTCTCTATTCTAGCATCTTGCATTGCTGTCTGTACAGTCATTGCAAGTTATCTATTTATATTATAGTCGGGAATTAGAGAGATTTCCACATTTTTGTAGCTTTCCCATCCATTTCTGAGGCCAGATATTCTGAAGCTTCAAGAAGGAGATCTTTGGCTATCTCCAACTCAGTCCCGTTTTTGCCCTTTGAATTGCTTCTGTCTGCTGTAATTTTAGCAATTATTATCTCCTTATTATCTGAGGTCTTTACCAAAGTCCATGGAGCGTTCACCTCTGCCTTTGAGCTCATGTTCCTGGTCATAGGAAGAGGAGCACCTTTCTCTTAAAGAACCTCTTCTCAGCCTAAAAAATCTCTGACGTCTTGCTGCTCTTGGCATTTTCCAGGGTCCACACTTGAGATTCTCAATGGAGAGTGAAAACACCGATTCATAATGAAAACCAGCCCCCGTCGGCCATTGATTCTCAAAAGACGGCGGCTGCCCCTTCCTGTTCAAAATGGCCCAAGTGAAACATCAGAGGAGGAACCTAAGAGATCCCTTGCCCAAAAGGAGCATAGTCAAGCACAGGCCTCCAAGGAAGTGGCAGAGTCCAGCTCTTGCAAGTTTCCAGCTGGGATCAAGATTATCAACCACCCCACCATGCCCAACACCCAAGTAGTGGCCATCCCCAACAATGCCAATATTCACAGCATCATCACGGCACTGACTGCCAAGGGAAAAGAGAGTGGCAGTAGTGGGCCCAACAAATTCATCCTTATCAGCTGTGGGGGAGCCCCAACTCAGCCTCCAAGACTCCAGCCTCAAATCCAAACCAGCTGTGATGCCAAAAGGACAGAAGTGACCATGGAGACCTTGGGACCAAAACCTGGAACTACGGATATAAATCTTCCTAGACCACCTGGAGCTCTTTGTGGGCAGAAACAGGAGAGCTGTGGTATGTGGTCTTCCAGGCAAAGGGGTGAAGGAGCCCAGCCTTTCCTCTCTAGTGGCAAGGTCTGTAATCTGTCTTGATGCTTGCAACTGTCAGGCATCTGGCCGAGCATGGTGGCTCATGCCTGT